TCTTCTATTTAATGTTCCATCCACCATATGTGCACTATTCATTCTTTTTTGTGCCATTATCGATCGAAAATTACGGTCTACTGTAAAGAACCATATCCTAATTGTTTTGCTCATTTTTGGCTTGGCTGCTCAATTAATTGATGTTCCTTTCTATCTCAGTTTTATCATACATTCGAGTGTTTTTCCGCCGAATAAATCAATATGTCTTTTATGGTGGTTTGTCGATATTGGTATGTACAACGGAGGAAGCATACTTATGGCATGGGGCGCTCTACAGCGACATATTATCGTATTTCACGATCGATGGCTTTTAACGAGAACAAGACGCATATTCACACACTATGTGCCATTGCTTCTTTTAATTTTGTATATTTTCATTTACTATACTTATGTCATTTATTATTTTCCCTGTGAAAATCCTTATGATTATACATTACCATACTGCAGTACGTCTCCGTGCTTTCAAAGTGATCCAATTATGGGCATGTGGGACTGGGTTGTTAATACTGCTTTGCCATCATTTCTTGAAGCAGCTTTCAGCTTTGCTTTTGTTTTTCGAGTTATCTGGCAGAAACACCGTTCTCATTTACCAATTCAATGGCGCAAGCATCGAAAGATGGCAATTCAGCTCATGTCCATCTCGTCTCTTAACTTAGTCTCGAACTTTCCACTCGGTATTATCGGCGTGGCACATTTATTTGGTTTGCCAGAAGATATTGGAGTCGATGCTGCACAATATTTCTTTTTTCTTTGTTATCTTGTCATATTTCTGTTCCCTTTCATCTGTATGGTGTCGATAAGTGATGTGAATAGAATATTCCAGAAAAGAGTACTCTGTCGACGGCAACAACTTCGACGGTTCACGGCAACAATCAAGCCTATAGATTTCAGAATGACTATGGCTATGCAGCATTAAGTGAAGCATTTTGAAACTCAATTCGTGCTTTCTTTTTTTAATTCCAACGATTCTCAGATCAGAATGAAAAAAAAATCAACTTTAAAATAGCAAATCATTGTTTTTCTTTAATGTTGTGTTTTATTAAAGAATAAACGTAAACTATTGATGATTCTATTTCCAGTGAACCGTGTGGATGTGGGAGGATTTAGAGTGAGTAAAGATCAACGCCTATACCCAGCCTCAAGTTTCAGTGAATGTCGAAATGGCTACCGAATGCACTAATCAGATCTCACAGACATATTCATAAAAGCTCACCGAAAAATTGTGATATAAAATAGTTTTGACAGTCGTTCCTTCCTAAATTAATAGTACGAGGTGAACAAGACAGTGCATCCTGCAGAGCGAGTTCTCCTCTACCAAATTGGTAATGCCGCCATTCTGGTTCATTCCAACTTTTTGATTGATTTTTTCAAACACTTTTCCTCTCTAGTGTATTACATAGCGAACTAGTGGATCGTATAAAGTTCATAAAAATTTTTTAAATTCCTAAGGATTCTGGTGCAGTTTTTCGCGAGGAATCTGAATATGCGACTGGTCTTAAAATTCGAGCGAATAGAGAGCGACTTTCATCGATTTTTCGAAAAGAATAAAATTTTTTTATTTCAAAATAATGAAAATGCTATAATAGTATTTTACCTGTATCTTTTGTGAAACTGTGAGATCTCTCGTCATGAGATGTATATAATGGCTTTAGCCTCCGGAACTATCGTAGGCTAAAGGAAAATCGTATGTGAATTTGAACTATCTAATGATGAGAAATCTCACGTAAAACTGCGTACCGTATTTTGGAATAAACGTATAATATATATATATATATGTATATGTGAATATATATAAATTCAATCCGATCTTTATTAATGAATATCAATAAAGACACATACATAGATGATGTTGGAAACGAAGTTGATCAATAACAATAATGAGCAACGATAACGACAGAAAAAATAATAATAATAATGTGCTGGACATAAGTTAGCGTCATAATGCGACATCTGTTGACGCTAACAGAAACTAGAGTTAAAATCTAAAAATTTTGTCACCAAAATAGTCAGCCCAAAATTCTCTCTAAATCCTGAAAGTTTCAATAGATTTGGACGTGACCGCCGGATCGACTGACGACATTCCGTAGATACACCCAATATTGGTTAGATTTAGAAAAACAAACTTGAAAGCACAGGACGAGAAAAAAAAACTTTGAATGGCTGCCCACACTGCTTCGCCTTTCTCGTTTGTCATGTAAATTATAAAAACAACCATTACCACGACAGCTTTCGTCTCACAGTTGCAGGTGTTTTAATTTCACGTGGTGAAAAGAACAAGAAAGCAAGCAAGAACTATGGCAGCTTCATTAACATTGACGGATGTTGATGACGATTATTGCATCTTATGTACCGAGAGACACAATCGAACGCGAGCATCATTCTGTCATTGTAAACATTGCTCAATACGATTATGTCTCGAGTGTATGAAAGAGCATCATGATGAACTATTGCAAACTGTCACCGTATTATCACATCGTTACAATGAGATTCAAGAATGTGCTGAAAAAAAGCAACAGATGACGGACGAAGAAGCACAAAAGTCATCCGATCAAGTTACTCGATGGTTTGCGGACTATGTTCAAAGCCTAATGGAAACCAAAGATCGAATATTAGTCGATATCCAAAAGTCTCGAGAAGGTGGGCAGGTAGAGATACGATTGAATTGAAAAAATCAATCTTTGAATGATGCTTTTGAATTGCAGACTTCTTTGTTGGCATTCAAACGTGAATTGGAAACTGTCGCAGAAGGTATTCAAGCTTTAGGAAAAGAAGCTGTTTTCCAGCCGAAGCAAATGCTTGAATTGATCAAGAAACTTGATACAATGCAGGAGAAGATTAGTAATTATCAGCTATCGCAAGAGATAGATCTCGCAACGGCTACGCCGAAATTCACGCTCCGATTCGACTGGAAATCGGCTGAACAAGTTAATGGAGCCTTGAAGTTCGCTACCGATTGCGACAGTGGGGCTCAGCCGTCCTCTGTTTCGATGATATGTCCTTACGGCGAATCAATTGTGGAGCATCGCCAGCGAACTCCATCATTGGAAGCTGAGACGACCACTGATGATGATGGTGACGAAACAAGTTCTTGCAGCTCAGTTTCTTACATCCCCACATCGTATGCCGTAACTTGCATGGCAAGTGATGGCGAAAATGTCATGTATTGCAGCACCCAGGATGGAACACGTGATGTGATCGCCTATTGTTATATGAATACCGATGATGAAGAACCCGATCCAAGTAGAGATTGGAATCAAGCTAACATCCAAGATATGATTTGGTGGCCGCAGATTGACAAATTTATTTGTGCGACGCAACAAGGAATTTATACTGTGGAATTCTATCGACGAAGGTTCAAAATAAACTGTGTTCTACGTGGGAACTTTCCTTGGGTTCGCGTTGCAGCAAATGACTTACAGTTGTGGATATGGGAAGAAAAAAATAACGACGATACGGGTAGTATCTTCATATATTCGGATGCATTTCAGCTTCTTCGAACCATCTCGGTTGATTTAACCACGATTGGACCTCCTCGTGGTCAAACTTGTAACTTTTGTGTCACGAACGAAATTGTAGCGGTTACTTTTACTCGTCGTGTCAAGAAATCTATCGATATTCTAGAAGTGCACTTTTACGATTTTAACATGTACAGATTGAGACGCATTCGTTTTGGCAAGTGTTCTGATTCTTCAGTCGAAGTACGCACCGACGGCCGAGATCTCTTTTTCATAACGACTGGTCGACGCATCCTACACATTGTCTCTCTTCATGGAACAAAGAGAACCGAGATACTGGGTGACAAAGGCTGTTGTTTAGCTGTACTCAGTGATAATCAAATAGCGATCAGTCACGCCAGTTCACAAATCGAAATTCACCAGTATTGAACAAAATTATTTGTTTTTTTTACTTGAATACAACTTATCTACATAGAGACAACATTTTATAGAATCATCGTTCTTTATTTTAAATAAAATAAATTGACCGATGTAGGTTTGGGTATGTGAGGATGTGGACGTATGAGAGTGTGGGTATGCGTGGGTGTCGGATAAGATACGATGAAGCCATATCTACACACCCACATCCAACCTGCAATGGTGCAACAGCATATACAAAGTTGTTTCAGAGTGAGTCTATTTTGATAAGAACATGTACGTTGAAAAAAGCGACGGCAAATATGTGACAAAAACGCCGAAGGATGTGGCTGGATATGCGTGTATCTCTATAAATCTATTAGAGATCGAGACATACACCCAGACCCATCGATACTTCACACCTTCTTCTCTTATGAAATCTTCTTTTTCCCCTTGGATACTTCAATAATTATATACTGCAACGAGAAAAACAAAGAAAAGATAATATATAATTTATTATCTAGATATATTCTAGACGCATTATTATATCGTAGAATTTTAGTATTATCGCTTGCAATTCGACGAATCGACATTCATATTCTGTATTTGCACTGTGTATAATAAATAATGGGTAATCGATATGCTAAAGAGAAACAAGAAGAAGAGGCTATTCTTCGAAATCCTAAACGATGCTAAGCAAGTGAACTTTATTGAGCCTGTCGAGACGATGACGTCGATTCTATGCGACGAATTCTTTCACAATCTGATTATAGTGAAGTAAATCATTTGGAACCGAACGTTAGTACGGCTCTCCACGCTGCAACGTATTTCGGACGAGTTGATGCTGGGTTGTGGGTGTCGGGTATATGGACGACTGCCACACTCGCCCACACCAACACCCACACCCTAAAGTGTTCAAATATAGAATCATGTCAAAACGCTCTTGTCAACAGAGAACCATTTCAGTATCTTGAATCTTTTAGTAGGAAAAAAGCATCTCGTTTGTTCCTTATCCTGCTTTTAGTGAGCATTTTAGCACTGTGAATCCGTTGTTTTGCTTTCAAAAATTTATATTAGTTACTTTTCATTCTAAAATTATTGACAAAAAAAAACAATCAAAATATTGAAAAAAATTCGATTTCTTAGTATTTATGGCGTGATGCGTTTCGGATCGCGTGGAAACATTGATGTTTTTCGTACATTACCCAAACCTAAATAGAGCATCAGTACACGTTCTAAGCCAATGCCACCGCCACCATGAGGTGGACAGCCATAGCGAAATGCATCAATATATGATTTTATTTGATCGATATTAATTTTATGATGATTTACACGCTCAAGTAATAATTGTGCGTCTAAGAAAAAACTCAATCAAAATTACATAATATTCTTATACAAGGAAAAAACGTTACCATGGACACGTTGAGCACCCGAGAGAATTTCTTCACCACGCATGAACATATCATAACTGTTTGAATATTTCTAACATAAGAAATTATTCAATTGAAATAAGAAAAATAAGAGACATAACATAATATACTTACAGGATTATCTGGATCAGGCATTGTATAAAATGGTCGTACAGCCAATGGATATTTATCAAGGATATAAAAATCTGTATGATACTATTACAAAGAGAAAACAATTATATGTACATAATAAAAAAATGTCTATTATCAAATTTACTTTAGTCTTAACAATGTGACCTAAGATACGTTCATTTACTTTTGATAAATCTTCTTCAGGACCCATTTGAATACCAGCTTCAGCAAGTAATGCTAAAACTTCTCGATACTCTAGACGTAACCTAGAAGAAAACTTATTCTGGGTAGAAAGAAACAAAACTTCTTATCATTTATTAAAAACTTACGCGGGTTCAATAAATTCAAATGGTTTACATGGAAATTGCTTATTAATAATAGCGATTTCTGTAGCGAATCTAAATTAAATAACAAGAAACGACGATGATAACTCTTTATACAGGTTGAAACTAGAGATTCAACGAACCGTTCCGCAAGACCTTTGAAAATTTGTGTAAATAAATCACCAATTGTATTAACAACTTCGTGATAATGATAACTAAATGCCATTTCAAGATCAAGACCAACGAATTCAGTTAAATGTAGATGTGTATTCGCGTTTTCAGCGCGAAATACTAAAGAAGACAGCAAACTATGAAAATCTAGACTACCTAAAAGAAGAATTCAAACCTGTTCCAATTGTATAGACCTTTCCAAAATCAGCAGCAATGGCCATTTGTTTATAAAATTGTGGTGATTGTGCTAAATATGCATTCGATTTAAAATAATTGACTTGAAATACATTGGCACCGCCTTCCGATGCAGCTAAATTAGTACGAAACACAAGATATTCAATTTAATTGCTAGAACTAATCATAAAAATCTATACCAGAAATGATTTTTGGTGTATGAATTTCAACAAAACCTTTAGCATCAAGTGTATCACGAAATAATTTGCAAACACCTGCTTCAACACGATAAATAGCTTGATTAGCTGGTGTACGTCTAAATATAAATTTCATCAATCATTTAATTCTTTCTTTTTTTGCTTCATTCAAATTCATCAAAGTTAAACATACAAATCAATAACACGATTATCAAGTCGTGTATCTTGATTGACGTGAGGTGTTTGAGCACTAACAGCGTTTGGATCATCCGGTTGCATAGCATCTTCAATTAATAATGGTAAACGTGGTTCAGCGTGACTCACAACAAAAACCTTGTCAAATAGTAAAATAGAAACATGATCTATAGGGCAAGATAAGAAAACAAACTTTGATGCAACATACCTTTTTAACTTGTAATTCAACATCCTTTTGTGTACATGATTCAATAGGTGTTGCTGTTAGAGTAACTTCACCTTCAATATCAACAATACTTTCTTTTGAAATGCTATTTGTCAAGAGAAAATAATTCATTTCTTATTTAATCGTTTCTGTATTTGATCTTACGTAGTAACAAATTTAACCATGGATTTACTAACATTTTCATTCACACAAACAACAGCTTGGATTGTTGCTGATTGATGACGAATAACAAGAAAACATTGTTTGCCTTTATCACGACTTGTATAAAGACGACCACGAACCCAAATAACTTGTTTAGCTAATTTTTCATTGATATCACGTACAGAAATCAATTGACGATCAATTTTTTCCTTGGATTGAATCAATGGCATAATACCATAACAATCTTCAGCAATATCTTTTTCAGTTGTTCCTGAATCTACATTCTAATTAGATAAAACATAAATAAGATTACTATAGTTGAATGCAAAATATGTTATCCGTTGGCGTCGTTTTCTATGAGAGATGAAGTTTAGGATGATCATTTTCTTTCATAATTTAACTACGTTTCATTTAAGACTGTGTTGTTATCGGTAATACCTCTTGTTGCTTCTGTAATTTTTCGCTGGAATCGTTGGAGTTTTCCGATGCCATTTTAATATTACATACAGAAAATCATACAAAAAAACGTGACTATATATAAGAAATTAATAATGACGTTGAAATATTCCTGTTGCACCAGATGAATAATGCAAGAACGTTAACTTCGATGGTACACAATTTGACCAATCAATATTTCTTGAAATTATTAATATTTTCTTTTTTCAATCATGATCATTATGCCATCGCCATGCAACCTCATTGGCAAAAAGACTGGAATGAATTACTTGTAAAAAGTTTTCTGTTTAAAATATAAATAGGAAGCTTTCAATAGTAGAAATCCAATTTGCGGCAAGCAACACATTGTATTTTTATTTAATAATAAAAGAAATCTTTTCACGATAAAAATCACTTGGTTTTTATTACATTAACGCCATCTATAAACAAATGATTTTTATTTGATAGAAATCCATGTTTCAATAAAAAATAGTTTCTATTTCGAAGATCGAACGAACGTCGATATAGTTTTGTTCATGATTTTCCATTAATTCATTGGATTTCGACTAAAAGGACTTTGAATAAAAACTTGAAACAAGAATAAACGTCAAGTTAAAGAACAATAACTCAGAGAAGAGAGTGAGAAGAAAGAAAAAAAATGTACAATAAATACTAATATTGAGAAATACAGTGCTGGCCAAAAGTTCCTAGCCCCCCTGAACTTCACTCATAATAAGAGCTAGACAGCTGAAATTTTGTGTGTATATACTCTATGATGAATACTGATCCTAGGCAACCGGCCCCGTCACAATTGCTCGAGTTAGAACCGAGTTATAATAGGTAGTAGTCATGTCCCTTGTGAAACCTATAATTCGAGAAAGAAAAGATCTCTTGAGTCGGCCAACATCTCATTATGTAGCACTCTATTCTAGCTATCTATAGTATAAATTTCAGTGAAGTTCATAGAGCCGTTGTAGAGTTATGACCATTTTACTGTAATCATTGATGCAAACGAAAACCATGTAATGGCATTGTGAAATTCATAACTCAGTGAAAGCTTAATGGATCCATGTGAAATTTTCAGGAGATGTTCCCTAACAGTTGCCCATTATTTTCTGAAAGTTTCAGAAGCAAACATTGCATTAGAAGAAAATGGCACATTTCTCATCATCAGGTACTTGTCAAAGCTCTAGAAGTCCAAATTCTCGAGCACATGCACTCATTTTTTTACCAATGAAAGATAATATCTGGGGCTTCATTTTTTTACTAAAACATTGTTAATTACTCGTGGATTTAATAAAATAAAGCAAAAAATGTTTTATAGGTACCTTTTTTCATGTTGTCAGTAATAATAAAAAAAATGCTGTCATATGACAGTATATCATTAGAAAAGTCTTTTGAAACACCTCAGAGCTCTTCAGAAATATTTAAAAGCAAAACTGTGGAGCTCTCTAAGAAGTTGCAAATCACTATTTGATAGTAAATCATATGTTGCACACATCAGACACTCATAAGAGCCGTTTTAAAATAACGTATTTTTGAAACAGCATCCTTATTGATTGGACTATGGTATACTTGGAGATATTAGTGAGGAATTTTATTGCAAATATCAATAATTCTAAGCCAAATATGTCTTTGTNCGATCATTTAGCATTTGAAACATTTAATGATAATTTAACAGTACATCGTTTTGTTTTTTCTAATATTATTGTTCGAACATTACGTTTTAATGCACAATATCTTCTTTTAAATGATCATATATTTGATAATGCTTATATTGGTCAATTAGGTATAACACATCAAGATACATATGGTCGAATATATTTTTAATCAAATGGTCAAATATTTTATGATACAACTATAACTAATTTATATTTTAAATTTATAGATTTTGAAATACCAATATCTGAAATAAGTTTTTCAAATTCAAAAATCTATTCATTATTAATTCAATCATCAAAATTTTATGGTTTTACAAATCAAAATCGTGAAATTATTTCGACAACTATTTCACAAATAAAATATAATCATTTTCTTGAATATGATATTTTATTACCATTAAATAAAAAAAAAATTTCACATCAATTATATGAATTAAATGATGAAAATTCATCGAATGAATCGGAAAAAACTATTACTATGAATGTAACATTAATGACTAATCCTATATTTATAACAATATTTACAATAATTTCAAGTATAAATACAACAAATTTAACTGAATATTATTTTCCAAATAATATAGAATATAGTCAAACAGAAGAAATTGAATTATGTTTTAATCAAATAAATTCTCTTAATGCACATACATTTCGTCATTTAAAACAATTTAAAGGACGATTAATTTTAAGAAATAATCAAATTAAATATTTAAATCCATATGCATTAAAAGATTTATTTTTATTAAAAAATTTATCATTATCAAATAATTTTATTAAATATTTATCATCAATACATTTTAAAGAATTAAATCAATTATATGAACTTGATTTAAGTTATAATCAAATATATGAATTAAATAATAATACATTTAAATATTTACATAATTTACATATACTTTATTTAAATAATAATCCATTAGAATTAATTCATTCAGATGCATTTTCAAATCTAACAAAATTAAAACAAATTCATTTTCAAGGTGTTAAATTTATTCATTTAGTTGATTTATGGATATGGAATTTAGCTAGTCTACATGTTATTGATTTACTCAAAACTGAGTAAGATTATATGAAAGAATTTTGAAAATATCAAAAAATATTTATATATATTTTATTGAGAAAAATTTCAATCATTTTTCCAACCTACGAATGATTCCTCATTTGTCAAGTAGTTTTTCATTGTATATTTAGACTAAGAGCTTTAGTATTGAATAAATATATGAAACAACATTCCGAAGAAAAGAACGGAAGAGGATATGAGGCTTACCGAGTGTTGCGATATAAGCATAGTTCCTCAAATTAGTTATATTGACTCATGAAAATGAAGTCAAACGACGAAAGAAAACAAACATCATTTGTTGCACTTTTTTCGATTAAATTATGCGTGAAATATGTTCAACGGTGTTTTCACTGATTAGAACTATAATTTAAAAGAAATAAAAAATAATTAATATTATTACACATTCAACAATATTATTTTCCTTTTTTGTTGTTCAAAAAAAAAAAATATTTCTTGAATAGCATATATAATTAATCGATTATTACTAATTTGAAAAGACTGACATAGACAAAAGTACATAAAAATCAATATGTATAGAAATATCTTGAATCTTTATTTATGTTTAACATAAATTCGATGTTTCTTTTTTTTTTTATGTTTCTAGTTTTGATTTGAGTGATGTTGCTTTTTGTATATTATCACATTATAATCAAACATTATTTCATTTATCACATCAACATTTTTGTTCATGTAATATTCATTATTTTAATTTTAATCGATATTTTATTGAAAATACTTCAATATCAATATCAAAATATAATAGAAATTATTTACGTTTAACTCCTATATGTAATCAAAATGAAACAGAATCAATATTTAAATATCAAACAAATGAAAGTGATTTAATATTTCAAGATTTAGAAGATAAATGTGATTATAAATTAATGTTTC